AAAATGAAAAATAAAATTGGCATACTCTTTACATAAAATACAATAGGAAGCTTAGGTGCTTTGGAGGACTGGGGTGTCCCTTTAACATTAACATGTCCTGGTGAGTAGGTAACTGATTTACAAAACTCTGATAGTATTATCAGCTTCAAAATTGGCACATACAACTTGGAAGGAACCAAAAAAACTACACATTACAATACATGAAATTAAACCTGTAACTAGATAAAAAAAAAAAAACACACAATGATAAAATGCAAGTACAAAAGTCCAAACCTTAAGTAAACAGTGTGCACATGAGTAAGTGGAAAAGAAAAAATAAATAAAAACTAAGACTGAAGGATTTACATTCCAGTGAAGGTCATTCCAGAGCATTAAGTGACAAAATACTATAGGCAGTCACCATAATGCCTGCCTACTGCTCGGGGCTGATCATTTTGTCTTAGAGAATTGATATTTTTACCTTGACAAACACAACCTTGCGTTCCATAAGTCCATCAAGATGTTGCCGTCTTTTTGACGGTGCACAAGTTAGCTAAATGCAAGGCAGGAATTAGGATGGGTAACTCTGGATTTACTGAGCACATTATTGACAGGGTAAGAACCACAATGTTGCCCTGCTTTTTATAAAATATTTTCAGTTACCTTTAACAATAGAAACTGATGGTGGCCCATATTTGGGTTTTAAGAATAATACTGTAATAATGTATTGTGCGTGAGTTACTTTATTTGCAACAAATGTGATCCTGTAAATTGTCTCTGATCTTTAGTGAGGGTTTAAATACTCATTAAAAGATGTGTAAGATGTTCCAATGCTGTACTCTCACGCATGATGCGCAAGAGTACAGCATTGAGGTCTATGGAAGCCGCAGGATCTTCCAGAAATAGAGACAATTTCTCTGCAGCCATCAATGGTCACGGCTGGGGGATTGACACTTCCTCACAGTGGTGCCTTTGCCAAGTGTCAAAAAGTGTCAGGCATAGGACAAATACTGAGGAAAAATAGTCCTTACTTTGTCTCAGTTTATCTTCTGACTTGGTGGCAGTTAAAAACCCCTTCTGTCACTTACCTGGGTCCAGCGCCAAGGTGCTTGCTTGGGTCCACCTTCTCTCCTCCCTCGCCAACGTCAGCCGGCTGGGGAGACCTTATATGCATATGTGGCAATGACCATGGTTGCATTAGGATTTCCAAAAAGGAAAACATTATTCAATGCTTTCATATTGAGTGTTGGGTAATGCTGGACGCAAAAAGTCGCCTAAAAGCCCAAAAGTCCCACTAGTGGCTGTCTGGTAGAGTTAACCATAGCAGGTAGTTATTGGAGTTATTGGAGTTAACCATAACAGGTAGTTATTGCAGTTTTTAATAAATTAATTACCTGCTCAGGGTTAAGGTACCTGGAACACTGTACCCAGACCACTTCAATGAGCTGAAGTGGTCTGGGTGTCTATAGTGTCCCTTTAACCTAATAACCCTAATCAGTATTTGGAGTTTTTCTCGCATCTCTTAAAAGCAAGCAACACACTTGATAATCATGATGTAATTGGTGAGGACCTGAACAGGAAGTGTTCATTACAGGAATTTTCTAAGTAGTTACCAGAAGCATCCATTCCTATCTAACTGATTTACAAAAAAAGCTGCTTAAAAATAGAAGCATGACTGTATGGACTGTTTAACAAGTGCAGTTATGCTGCCTTTGATGTGTTCTCTCACTGCATATATTGTTTTCTACTGAAAGAATAACTGCAACCTTGCAAACTGCCAACAGGCTGTGGGCAACATGAAACAGACATTTCAGACGTTGTGTTTGTTTTTTTTTTTAAAAGCATTATGGAGATACTGCAATAAAAAAGATAAAAACAAATGAAAAGTGAAAAACCCAAAAAAATATCTTATGAGCTTTCTACCTTTTTTTTTTTTTGCTGTAGAAAACAGCAAGTGACTGGAATCTCTACAAACCAATACTAGCCATCACATTGTATCAGTGGGAATGTTGAACTTTGTGATGAGATTTCAACATGGTTCAAAATTCAGTAGGCCTGAAATCCCCATGTGGCATATACAAGTACAGGTGTTTGTTGTATCTGTTAATTAGTTACATGTAGCTAAGATACTGTCATCAATGTACGGAGCATGTGCATCACCTGTAGTCACATTCCTTTGTCCTTAAAAGGAATCATGCAGTCTGCCAATATGAGGTGATCCTGAATATCCTGTTCACTGATTGGTCTAATGGTATGTGTGAGTGGAGCTATGAATGGGAGGATGTATTGTTAATAAAAAGCATTTGCAATCTGTGCTCTGGGCTCAGACATTTTTAGAACAGGAGTTCATCTGAGACCCGATCGGTGATAAGAAAGACCTGTTACTTCCTGAACGAACCTGCCTCCATTTCTCTGTGTGTGGTTTCTGCGGCTTTCTCCTGCAACAACATAACCTTGCATAACAGGAGTTTATTGGATATGCAGTTCAGCAATGCCAATCTCCACTCATGAAAATGCATCAATACAGTTACTATGCACAATAACACAAGTAGAGATACAACATCTATTAGCTTTTCAAATGGTTCAATTTATATATATATATATTTTTTTTTTAATTGCCAATAAATAGAGTTGAGCGAACCCGGACTGTAAAGTTCGAGTTCTTACTGAACATTAAGTTTTTTGGACCCGAACACTGACATATCACTGTATGTTCGGGTTGGAGTTCGGTGATTTAATGGCACATTTTGAAAGGCTGCAGGGCAGCCAATCAACAAGCGTTTGACTCGTGTGCCCTTAGAAGCCATCACAGCCATGCCTACTAATGGCATGGCTGTGATTGGCCAGTGCAGCATGTGACCCAGGCTCTATATATAAGCTGGAGTCGCGTTGCGCACGTCACATGAGCTCTTATTAGTGTAAGGAGAGGATGCTGCCGCTTTCAGGGACAGATTAGGAAAGAATTCTGCAAACTAGTACATTAGTGGGGTGCACTTCATATCTGAGAGTCAAATAGAAGCGTCAAATACTGCTGTCACATTGCAGTTTTAGAACTTTAATTTTTTTGGGTGCTAAAAAGTACATTAGTGGGGTGCACTTCATATCTGAGGGTCAAATAGAAGCGTCAAATACTGCGGTTACAGCGCAGTTGTAAACATTCTAATTGTTTTGGTGCTAAACTGCTAAATAGTAAATGTGGGGCGTGCTCTTCATATCTGAGAGTCAAATAGAAGTGTCAAATAGTGCGGTTACAGCGCAATTGTAAACATTCTTATTTTCTGGGTGCTAATCTGCTAAATAGTAAATTTGGGCACTGCACTTCATATATGAGAGTCAAATAGAACAAATAGTGCTGTGACATAGCAGTTTTAAACATTCAAATTTTTTGGCTGCTAAATATTACATTTGCTGCCTGCGGTGCACTTCATATCTGAGAGTCAAATAGAACTTTCAAGTATTGTGCTTACATTGCAGTTATAAAAATTCTAATTCTTTAGGTGCTAAATAGTAAATTTGGGGTGTGCTCTTCATATCTGAGAGTCAAATAGAACCGTCAAACACTGTGCTTACAGCGCACTTTGAAAAATTAAAATTGTTTTGGGTGCTAATGCTAAATAGTACATTTTCGTCCTGCGGTGCACTTCATATCTGAGAGTGAAATAGAACCGTCAAACACTGTGCTTACAGCGCACTTTGAAAAATTAAAATTGTTTTGGGTGCTAATGCTAAATAGTACATTTTCGTCCTGTGGTGCACTTCATATCTGAGAGTGAAATAGAACCGTCAAACACTGTGCTTACAGCGCACTTTGAAAAATTAAAATTGTTTTGGGTGATAAAAAAGTAAATTTGGGGTGTGCACTTCATATCTGACAGTCAAATAGAACCGTCAAATACTGTGCTTACAGCGCAGTTTGACCAATTCAATTTTTTTGGGGTGCTAAATAGTACATTTGCGGCCTGCACTTCATATCTGACAGTCAAATAAAACCGTCAAATACCAATATAACAATATTGTAATTCGGGGGCAACACCATCACAAGTCAAACTGAGAGGTCAGTTTATAGGGAAAACTGTTGCCTGGATACAATTCTAAAACAATTCCCATATATCCTTTGCAGAGTTACATGCTGGAAAAACACAGGTGCCAACTGCTGTGGCTTTCTGCAGTGTGCAGACCGGCAAGGAGGGCAGGGTTGAGGAGTGGGTGGAAGATGATGTAGAGGATGATGAGGTCCTAGACCCAACATGGAATCAAGGTCATGCGAGTGACGTGTGCAGTTTGGAGGAAGAGGCGCTGGTCGCACAGAGGCACCAGCACAGCATATGAGGGAGCAGGGTGCAAAAGTGGAGCGGCCGTCCCCTAGTGCTTGTCGGCATGTATTATCTTTAGAATTCCCACAGTTATCCAAGTAACAGATGAAGCGATAAAAGGAACCATAACAGATTTAACGAGCCATTCGCAGTTTCGCAGTCCGGTGACCGGGACCCAGACATTATCTGGGCGACGGTCGGACAACCAGGACCCAGTATGCCTGATGTTGAAGTTAGGAGTCACAGTGTGGAATGGATTAGCAGGGTAACCGCATGCCCCCTGGTGTTGAGCACCAGCGTTTGTGCGGCCACATACCAGGACCCCGATGCAACTTCAGTAAAAAGAGTACTGGATACCAGAAGCCATCACCAGACTGATCCGCAACTTGAAACAGGATGTGACATTCACTGTAGCGACTGTGCGCGCTTTCAGCGTTCTCACCCTGCTGCTGCTCGACTGCCTGTGCTGCAGCGTAACTTTGGCTTTCTCGCTCACCGCCTCATATGCGACGTGTCCACAAGGTGGAACTCCACCTTGCACATGCTGGAGAGACTGTGCGAGCAGCAGCAGACGATAGTGGAGTTTCAGCTGCAGCACGCACGGGTCAGTTGCTCTGCACCAGACTTGCCCTCCAATTGATCATAGTTAAAGGATTTCAAGTGGACTAATTACAAGGCCTATAAAGAGTCCTGTATTGTTATTTGTCGTCACTACCTCCCCGTGTTGGGAGTGGTTAATTTGCGAACCTGCTGCCTTCCTTGGATGTGGTAGCCATTTCTCAGGCTCCCTCTCTGAATCGAACCCTGATTCCCAGTTACCCGTGGTCACCATGATACGCGCAGAAAGTGGCATCAAAAGTTGATAGGGCAAACATCCGATTGCAAAGTCGCCGTCAAGGGGACGTGCGATTGGCCCGAGGTTCTGTAGCAACTATCAACAGCTATTCTGCCAAACGGATCTTCACTAATAGGTAGGGGATGGAGGGGGGCCCTGTGCCGGTCCCTTCTCTTCCCCACTCTCTGGCAGACATCTGGCAGTACTGCCTCAGATCCTGAGAGATGCCTGGCCAGAAGAAGCTGTGGGTGAGCCAAGATGCTGTCCGGCTCCTGCCCAAATGCCCTGCCAAGGTGATATTATGAGCTAGCTTCAGCAGCTCTTACCAATACTTCTTGGGTCTGGGGCTGGCGGTCTCTCATCAGCCGTGTCGTTGGGAAGCCCATTGAAAAAGTGCTCTAGCATGACGAGCTCGGTGATCTCCTCCGGGAACTTGATGGGAGTTGAGCCAGTTCTGGGTGGCTCTTGTGATGTGGCATGTCCACTCCACATCGGAGTCCTTCCCTCCTTTCCGGGTCTTCCTAAACTTTCGGCGGTATTGCTCGGGGGTGACCACATACCGGGCCAGGAGGTGTAATAAAGGGATAGTCTCTGATCTGCTCTTCTGGTACAGCCCGGTAAATATCCGCTGCCTTCCCCACTAGTTTGCTGGCCAGGATAGTGACCCAGTCGCTGGGGTTCAAGTCTTGGAGTAGGCACTGGTGCTCAAAGTCTTGTAAAAAGACATCAATGCCTTCTTCTGCTTCCTTGAACTCTTTGAAGGCATTGTATGGTAGCTTGTGGGCCAGGGTGGTTGTGCTTCCCAGTGCCCTCTACTCCCTTCATCCTTCATCTGGGTTCATGGAAGTCGCCCTCTGTCTATTGGCAAGGACATAGGCTTGCACCTCCAAAAAGGTCCTGCTGACAATCTCCTCTGAGGGTGGCTCTCGGTAATATGCCAGGCACCGTTCCGCATCCTTGCGCACTTCCTCCTCATCTCCGGCCCCTGGCTGGGGTTCGTTGCCTCACTGCGTGCCTGATCGCCCTCCATGAGCGTAGCAGTCAAATTGGCCTTGTTACGCCCACCAGGCATTATTCTTCTGGCTCCACACAAGCCCTGCAGTGTAGGTCGCTTTTTCAGCACTGTAGTCCATGGGTCTGTTGGCAGAGACATGGGATCCCGCCGTTTGCCACCAATTGAAGCGGGACCTGGGTTACCGATGGTTATCCCCTTTGATTAGAATAGGCCAGACCCATTTCCCCAGTAACCGGATGGGACACAGTTCCAGGATACAACATTTGACAATCTTTATTTGGGTACACAGCTTTGCCTCCTGTTGCCTCCTCCTCCTCTACTACCTCCTCATCCGGTCAGCGTAACACCTTCACCACCAACTTCAGCACAGCCAGGGGAAAACGAAAGCAGGCTGTTTTAAAACTCATATGTTTGGGGGGGGAACCCCACACCGTGCAGGAGATGTGGACGGGCATGGAACAACAGACCGATGAGTGGTTGTTGCAACTGATCATCAAGCACGGCCTGGTGGTGTGCGATAATAGGCGAAATCTAGTAGCAGCTCTGGGCCTAGCTGGTTTGACGCACATCCCTTGCCTGGCGCATGTGCTGAATTTGGTGGTGTAGAAATTCCTGACAAACTACCCATATATATCAGAGCGGCTGCAGAAAGTGTGTGCCGTCTGTGCACGCTTTCGGCATTCTCACCCTGCTGCTGCTCGACTGTCTGCGCTGCAGCGTAACTTCGGCCTTCCTGCTCACCGCCTCATATGCGATGTGCCCACAAGGTGGAACTCCACCTTGCACATGCTGGTGAGACTGTGCAAGCAGCAGCAGGCAATAGTGGAGTTCCAGCTGAAGCACGCACGGGTCAGTCGCTCTGCAGAACAGCACCACTTCACCACTAATGAGTGTGCCTTCATGCGAGACATGTGTGACATTTTGCGCTGTTTCGAGTACTCCACCACCATGGCCAGTGCCGATGACGCTGTTCTCAGCCTTACTATCCCGCTTCTATGTCTCCTTGACATAGCCTCTAAGAATCTGCAAATGGGTAGTGCCATCCCTATCTAAATTGGCACCACATCTATATACCTCAGAGCCGGGACCCATAGGCTCAGGACCAGGTGAGCACCACATTTAACATTCTACATCTGTGTTTTTATCACAACAGTCTACACATTGGTTTGTTCTCCTTTTATGTCTTATTTATGAGAACTACTCCAAGCCGTAGTGGAAGGGTGGTGCTACCATAATAAGCACACAAGCCTCAATATGGAGCCAGTTTTTTATATACAGGCTCCTTGAAATGTGAGTGTACAGTTCACTACGATATTATTTCTGGATTGACATTTTAAATACCATTTGCACTATATTGTATCTTTTTGTATTTTTTGGCATGTACTTCATATTGCACTATTGAACCAAGTTACGTTTGGTAAGCTTTATATGTGTTTGAGCGCTCCACTTATAGGTGTAGGTAGAGATGTCGCGAACCGTCCGCGAACTTCTCGCGAACAGTTCGCCACGGTTCGCCATGAGCTGTTCGTGGCGAACTCCAGTCAGCTGACACGTCCTGGCCAATCTCCAGCAGACCCTCCCTCCCAGACCCTCCTACTTCCTGGACAGTAGGAGGGTCTGAGAGGGAGGGTCTGCTGGAGATTGGCCGGGACGTGTCAGCTGACCGGAGTTCGACGCGAACAGCTCGTGGCGAACTGTTCGCGAGAAGTTCGCGGACGGTTCGCGACATCTCTAGGTGTAGGTCTTTGTCACTTATACTGCACTGTATTTTAAATGAAAGAAAATACCCTGCACTCCAACCCTCTCTCAAATGGATAATTCTGGCGATCCTCGTAATTTGTATGTATTTTATGTTATTTTAAGTGATTTCCCTACCCACATTTGTTTGCAGGGCACTTGTCCTACTCTTACCCCCATTTTACTTCCTTTTGCAGCCCTCTAGCCCTTTGCAGGACTTTTTAGAGGCATTTTTGTGCCCAAAAGTTCGATTCCCGAACCCGGACTTTTTTCAAAGTTTGGCCGAACCCGCCCGATCCGAACATCCAGGTGTCCGTTCAACTTTAACAATGAATAAGCAGGGAGCTGTGCATATAGCTGAATCGATTTTTGAAAATATGCCTATTTTTGACTTATATAATAAATTATATAGAGGGAAATACTGACAAGGGATTTTATTGCACCGTTATGAAATAGCACAGGTTGTCATGGTATACGAGATGTATCAATACACTAGCTAGAGAATAAAACTACAAAATCACAACATATAATGCAACATTTAAAGCAACCAATATAAACTATCAACTATAGAGTAAGGTTTACTCCTATGTAGCATATCTAACCTGTCCAAGTGAAAGGCCGCTATTTCAGCATTGTGTCGCTCATAGTCCGAAAAGTAGAAGAAATCAGGTGGTGTTTCTTGTTCCCTTGTTTGCCTGTAAAGACAAAGAAAAGCCAATGTATAAGTACTCCACATCATTTGTTCTATAAAACACAAGACTTTACATTGGTCATGATGAATATAGTTAAATGATAGCTGTTAAGATAAGGTTAAATACCTATGTTAGGCTCATCATGGAGGATCTGTCCCCATGTAACCCCTTATCAGAGGTGGTCTAGTGTAAGAGAGAAGACCCTTGTTGATTTGCTTTATCACATATTTTGCTTTATAAAGAAATACAGGTGCCAAATGGGCCAATCCGATCAACACCATCATTTACTCTATTGAATCATGTATGTGAAGGCTGGGACATGGTGTGGTATCGTTAAACCTCCTACTAATATGGTTCTCAAGCCAGTCTTGATGAACCAATTAAGATCCAGAAATCAGCGAATACCCGTTTACAGTCAAAGATTGTCGAGTTTTCCAAAATGTGACAACCATCTAAACCAGGAGATCACAAACACCCCAAGAAAGGTGTAAAGGTAAGTACTATATAACTGTACGTCTGCTATAAATACTACACAAGGGCTCTGTGAGCTTCTACACAATAACATCAATTTCAAGTCCCTTAATACTACAAACAGTTAACCATCTATTATTAATTAATAGGAAGATGCATTGATCTGTCAACGAAGAGTACCTATTGAGAATAAATTGCCAGCAATATTCTTCACCTTAATTGGGCAACCTTATCTCGAAATTCGCCAATTAGAGACCATGTATGCTCTAAATAATGGTTAAAAGGTGACACTAATGACAATGCGAAGGGAAAAAAATGATCAATGCCCATTTTCTTTAAGGGAAATGTTCTGAATTAAAAGCTTCTGTTTAATTTTGACAATTTAGCCAGCTGCAGAATGCGTAATTGTTCCTTGCTGCAGAATTACTGACATATGGGACAATCATTAAATCACTGCAGGAACAGTATATTCTCACAAAATTTTACTCTCCTATTAGCTGCCTGCAGCTCAGGGTGCACTACTATATACATCATTAACTTTGGATCTGACAAACTTTTCTTCTCTGGTTTAAAATCCCCTATTTCTTTGGCTTGTTTGTGTAATTCATCCTGAGGCATCAAAAAACTATTATAGTTCAATGCAGATGTGCTCTGCGAACACATTTTTACTCTTGACCGATTGTTTCCTTTTATTATTTTTTTGTTTTATCTTTCCTAATACCTGTATGTGATTATTAAAGTTGAACTGTGTATACTGAGATTTTAGCACAACCTAAAAAACTAAAGGGACACACTGTAGACAGCATAGACATTTTGGCCAATTATCCCATTGACCAATATGGTAAAACCATTCAGTGCTAAACCATTTTTGAGCAATTTAACACTGAATGAGGGTCCCTGGCCACCCACATCCCTGACCACACTGAAGGTGTGGCTGAAGCCGAGATCCACTTCCTTCTAGCCATACTGATTTATACCAATAAGCTGACACGCTCGACCAATAATAGTTGCCCATTGTTGCTCAGTCTAATGCTTCCTCATTAGAACAGCACAGAGGGGATGGGCTAGAGGACTCATTTGGCATTCAAAATTAAAACATTGAAATGGTTTACAGTCTGAATGGAAGGATGGGACTTCAGACACTATAACCACTTTAATAAGATGAAGCAATTACAGTACCTACAGTGTCCATTAACTAAAAGTTAGTTGGGCTGTGGGTTTTTTTTCCAACCAAATCTATCAATATTGTTTTTTCATATTTACATGTCACACCTACAGGGGTCA